GTCTTTGTATGCTGTCTCCGCCTGTCTGTCTTTGTCTATAGAGAGAATAGATGTCACAAAAGCCCTCGCATACGCAAATGCATAAATAGAATTAACATATATATGCATTGCATAACCGGCGAAAACTGGAGGAAATGTACTGCACAAAGGATTAGAAATACACACACATACACATATATAAATATACATACATACATAATAACATAATATAATATATATTATTTATCATAATAATATATTAATTATGTATGTATGTATACTACATATTGAAAAAAAATTATTATAATATACATTGCACTCCACATACATATATATATATATAATATACCGACTTTATTATACGTATTAGTATTTTTATATATATATAATAGCATATGTCCATACATACATACATACATACACACACACACACATGCTGGTTCACACATTATATAGTATAGGTAACATATATATATTACTATAATATGAGAGGATGTATCAGATATATAATATAAGGATGTATGTATGTTTGTATATATACACACAGTTCGCATACACACGTAGCACGCTCTTACGAGCACACACACACACACACACACATACATAGATATATTAATAGGTTATAGTATATATATATATATGGAATTATATATACAAGGTATATCTAGTATTCTATGTGTGTGTGTGTGTGTGTGATCGTTGTGGTGTGGCGTGTGTGTGTGGCCGTTGTGTGCGTGTGCGTGTGTGTGTGTGTGTGTTAGGAGTGATGTGTGTGTGTTCGCGAGCGAATTAGCGTAATGTGTATGTATTCTGGTATGTATTCATGAATTTTTTGTACCGTATTTAGCTATCTAAACGCATTACCTCTCCCTCTGCTTTATTCATTACTTAATAAAACCCACACATAGCAGATAATATATCATTATATATTATAATAATACATATAATATTATAACAATATATATATAGTATAATACTATATATATATATAATAGTATATATATATATTCTATATATATATAATAAATTATTATACATATATATAAATAATACTATATATATATATATAGTACATATATTATAATATATAATATACTATATTTTATATATGTATATATAATATTATATATATATTATAAGGGTACCTATTATAGTATATTATATATAATGGATATATAGCAAAGCATATAATATATCTAGTCTATAATATATTATATATATAAGTATAATATATATAAATATAATATATATCAAACCTATTGCACTGGGGTGTGTGTGTGTTGTGTGTGTGTGTGTGTGTGTGTGTGTGTGTGTGGGTGTGTGTAGTGCGTGTATATATATATTATATATAATATATATATTTATATATATATAGTATAATATATTATATATATGTGTGTGTGTGTAATATATATATATATATATATATATATATATGTATGTATGTATAAATATATTATATCATATATATATGTATATGTATATATAATTAATATATTGTATATATATATATTATATATATATATATATATATATATATATATATATATATATATATATATATGCGTGTGTGTGTATTTTGTATATATGTTTATATAAACATATAAAACCAAATGATAAACAGATAAATATGATTATTTGCGTCAATCACGCTTAAAACACATTCGGTTCGCTGCACAAAACAGCTGTACACATTAATTTCCAAATGAAAGAGCCTATAAATAGCTGGAATAAACACGTGCTGCCAGCCAGACGCACACGTGGTTTTAGTTGAGCCGCAGATCCTGTTAAATTGTTGATGCCCATTTCGAGATGCAAATTCTGCCTCCCTTCTCATGGCTTCCCCATATCTGTGCTATCGTATTCAAGCAGATATAAAGTCTTATATCCAAACAAGCTGAGAACTTCCTTTCTGTTTTCATTAAGAGAATGACAAACACTTTGGTTAAGATTTTGGTGGAAATTTCGCAACGAAATTATTATTTAGGCAAACACTGAGGGGAGGCGACCTTGGCAGGCACAGCAGGATCATGGTAACACAGAGGCAGCGGGTACAACAACTTTTCCTTTCGGCAACTAGTAATATTTTTTAAACGTTTGTTCCCGAAACGATTGTGGTACAATTAGGCTGTTTGGTGTTACACCTAGGTCTATATTTCCATTAGAGTTCAAATGGCTATTGTCTCTGCAAGATATCGCGGATAAAAGTGATATAGTATTTGTATAAAACATCAATGGGTTCACACACGGTTTCCAGTTTACCGTTAGTCATCTTGAATTTACAAAGCTTATTACAGTTCGAAATGCCGTATTATCATCAACCGTTCTTGATACATGTGAAAACAGACTTATTTACATATTCTCGATGAGATAGGTAAGTATGCACAAGAATATCTTAACAATGAAACTAACGTTGTCCACGTGTGAATAATTAAAAGAAAGGAAGTGTCTGGCAACTGCATGAGTCAGCCGAGAGAGCCAATACACAAAACCCGTACACTCTCAGTGTTGCCTTGGCGAG